TTTAGATGCAATGTTAGTGGGTTTTTTTGTGTGTTTTGAGTTATTCTGAATTGGATGTTTGCTGGGTCAGTGTTAGTTGTTCAAAAGTTGGGATTGGCTGCTGGGGAAATAGTGTAGCAATAGGAAAGATTAACGCTTAGAATTGAAGAATTTCGATATGCGAAAGGTTTTGTTTTTTGATTAGTAATCGTTGAGGAATGTGTGTGGTGGAGCCTTGGAGTGTAAAAGTTAGTTGTGTCTCGCATTTGGGAGCATTTGGGTGGAGCATTTGTGCCAATCCATATGTTGAATTATGTATTGCTCAATTGGCTTATCATTTAGTATTTCTGCTTACGCTCTATATATGGGGCGCAAATTAAGTAAGGGCAGAATAGATGAACAAAGAGAGTATATTTGAAAGTTCAACCTAGATCAGTATTCATTCGATGTGCTTATAGACAAAGCAAGACTAGTTATAGATAAGCTTTAACTTGTCTACAGCCCGGTGGTCTTTGTTTTCGAAGAATTAATCCCGTTTTGATTATGTTAGTAGCAATTTTCTTCGTATAGTAAATATTATGGAGGGGGTGCTTTTCAACATGGGTGATTGTTCAGTTTCTAGCATGAGTATGTGTTGGTGGCATTTATTCACTTCAGTTTGCTGGCTGACTTTTAGATTTTGTAATTTAGAGGGAATGTTGATTTTTTTCAGTCTGTAATTATTAGGTTAACAACAGAGACATATCAGTTGCTGTTCTGAGGACATTCATAACCAAACGCAAGGAGGAGCATGAAGCAAGATTGTCCAAGAAAGCAAAACCTGCACCGAAGGAGTCTGACAAAGATGCTTCAGATTCTGTTGTAGAAGAAGTACCTAATGAGCCTGCTATTTATGAAGAAAAAACCAATGGAGATTGTGAAATGGCAGCAGAGATATCTCAAGATGAACCATGTAGCATTTCAGAAAAAACAGACAAGGTCACTGAGGGAAAATGGCGTGGGGAACTGAAGCCACCAAGAGTTCTTGAGGTTTTTCATGAATTTTGATTCAATCAATTAATTAGTTTCTTTAGTCTTTGCTCTTTACTCTGGAAGATGTCAATTCACATTTCTGTTTTGTATCATTTTCGTTCACAGGCCCTGTCAGCTTCTGGTTTAAGAGCTCTTAGGTATGCTCGTGAAGTGGAAGGAATTGGTAAAGTTGTTGCTTTAGACAATGATAAAGGTAAGTTTTAGGTTGTCTCTAACTACTGCACTTAAATGTATATGGCCATTTTTTGTGTTAACCTTTTAAAGATTACTTTGTTTGTCCTTAAAAGAAATGAAGAACGAATGGGCTTTAAGACCCAAATTAGATGAGATTATGGACTTTTAGTTTCTATTTAAATACATATTGAGATACGTAAGTTGTAGCTGCATATGGGCTTTTCTAATTACTTGTAAGCATCATAACAGTTATCACCAATATTTGTCTTCCTTCAGGTGCAGTTGAAGCTTGTAGGAGAAATATCAAGTTCAACGGTTCAGTTGCATGTTCAAAGGTGGAATCACATCTTGCTGATGCTCGTGTGCATATGCTCACCCATCCAAAAGAATTTGATGTGGTATGCTTATGCTGTTTTATATTCATCACTGCAGATTAATTTCTTTGGGCGGATTCCTATTATTTTGACACTTCATAAACCAGTGGCAGTAACATACTCCTTGCTGGTTATTGGTGTTTCAGGTTGATCTTGATCCTTATGGTTCGCCCTCTGTCTTCTTGGACTCTGCGGTTCAATCTGTTGTTGATGGAGGATTGCTAATGTGTACAGCAACTGATATGGCAGTGCTATGTGGTGGAAATGGGGAGGTTTGCTATTCAAAGTAAGCAGTAATATCTTTCTGCTGATATACTTTGATTGAAGCATTTTATTCTGATTCCTGGATTTACTTATCACGAACTGTTTTATGGATTAGATATGGTTCCTATCCATTGAGAGGGAAGTATTGTCACGAAATGGCTTTGAGGATCCTCCTAGCTTGCATTGAGGTATTGTTATGTCCTTGATTATAGCTTTTAACTAGAACGTGCAAACCACTTGAAAATTGTTATTAACAATTTAGCCCGTAGGGAAGTAGAATTGATACTGCATTTGCCTTGGTAATATAGTTATTGGCACGTCTTTTCTATGGCAACTATTTACAGCTTTATTGTGGGGTGTTTTGTTTGGGTAATGATGATTTGGATAATAATTTTAGGTTTTCAATCAAGTTTAGATTGAAGGTAGATTGAACTTGAAGAGTACCCTTATTGGACCATAATTGTATATTTCAATTAATAAAAATTGTATATATTTCTTTTTTGGTGCACGGATAATTTCTTCTTGATAAAATGCAGAGTCATGCAAATCGTTACAAACGGTACATTGTTCCTGTGCTATCTGTTCAGATGGACTTTTATGTTCGGGTTTTCATTCGTATCTACTCGTATGTGACCTATTTCCTTTTAATTCACTTAATGTTAGCTATCTAGGCTTCTTTCTTTTGCTGTTGCGTGATGGTTCAAATAATTGGTTGCAATTCAGCAAGTGCAATGAAGACCTATTTCCTTTTAATTCACTTAATGTTTGCCATCTAGGCTTCTTTCTTTTGCTGTTGACTGATAGTTCAAATAATTGGTTGCAGTTCTGCAAGTGCAATGAAGAACTCTCCCCTTAAGCTATCCTATGTTTATCAGTGCATTGGCTGCGATTCATTTCATCTTCAGCCTATTGGAAGGACAGTCACAAAGGTATGGTGCTGATATACTATACCTTGGGAGCTAGGTTGTGCTTATGTATTCATGACAAATATCATCTAAGAAATGTTTGTTCTCTTGCTTTCCCTGAACTATATGTAAGTGCCGTCTAAATTTTATTTGTAACGATGACTTTGAAAGTTGAATAGAGAATTATGTTTGAAACTATCTTTTAGGAGAGTTAACCTCAATTGTAGGACACACATTGACCTTCATAGTTATTACTCTATTATTAGCAAACTTTGCCCCCTTGCAGAATATTTTCATATGTGTATGTGTTGAGTGAGTTTGACCACTTTGATTTTTACGGCTTTACCAAGAGTTATTTGTCTGTTGAACTCTTGTAGCTTTAGATAATGGATTTATTTTCTCATTTTAGTTTATATCGATTCTGATAAGGAATCCCTTTACATTTTCAGAACACCAGTGTAAGATATCTACCGGGTTTTGGTCCCGTTGTTCCTCAAGAATGCAGTGACTGTGGGAAGAAATTCAATATGGGTGGACCTATATGGTCTGCTCCTATCCATGATCAAGAATGGGTTACTTCCATACTATCTGATGTGAAATCTATGAAGGAGCGGTATCCCGCTTATGATCGCATCTCTGCTGTACTAACAACAATTTCAGAGGTGTGCCCTTTGTCTTAATATTTGTCCTATTAGACATAAATTAGATGTGCTTATGCAGTTTCACTGATGTGTCTGTATTGTTTGCAGGAACTGCCTGATGTTCCTTTGTTCTTGAGTCTGCACAACCTCTGTGCCACATTAAAGTGCACTTCCCCATCTGCTGTGATTTTCCGTTCTGCTGTGATCAATGCAGGGTATCGTATATCTGGAACTCACGTAAACCCATTGGGGTTGAAATCAGATGCTCCCATGGATGTCATTTGGGACATAATGCGCTGTTGGGTGAGCAGTCTCTTTCAGCTCTCATTTGTTTCTCGTGTCATGCATGTATTAATTTTTCAATAGTAGACAGTCTTTTAAGATCCCTGCACGTAGATTCCTTCCTGCCCCCCTTTTAACAGTATGGTTCTGTTGTTGCTTGCTCCGTCTCTACTCTGTAAATTATGTAGACTTTCTATGAGATTAGTGCTATTTACTAGTTCGTTGCATTGGGTGTGTGATGGTATCTTATTGAGCCTTGATTTTGTGTAGGTGAAGAATCACCCCGTGAAACCTCAGCCAGCGGATCAGTCAGGGACCGTGATACTTGCCAAGGAACCCATCCTTCAAGTATATGTTTCTCCCATTTTTGGATACGAATAATGATTTCTTTTTTTCTTCCGATTATACTTTCCTTTTCTTCTTTTGGTATGTGCAAGTAATTTCATGGACCAAATCACCCCGTGTGTGAGTGCGTGTTTGAGAGGGCAGAGCGAGATATCTAACTTACCACTCTTTCTGACATTTTCTCTTTTGCAGGCTAACTTTGCTCGAGCTGTTGCGTCTCTTAGCAAGGCACAAACCAAGAAGGTAGCACGCTTCCTTCCAAATCCTGAAAGGCACTGGGGGCCAAAGCTTAGGGCAGGTCGTACAATCACCAGCAAACACATCTCTCTCTTGGGTCCGGAGGCTGTCAATGGACATCTTAACCATGAAGATGGTGAGGAACATGATGCCAAGCGTCAAAAGATTGAAGATCAACCCACCCCAAATTGAAGAAATGAGCGGTTTTAAGTTTGTCGACCAAGTTGACCTTGAGCTCCATACTCCCATTACCGAAACAACACACATAATCCTTCTTTCTATTCATTTTAACTTGGAGACAGCGGGTGGAGAGAGCGAGGCTTCTTGCAACCATTAATTACGCCATGAGCAACTGGAGCGGCAACTTTCTATTTAATTAGAAGCCAATTTTCAGCAACTTCTGAGTTTGATGGACGATTTTTATTTATGTTTGCATACTTTTTGAGTTTGTAAGCAATTTATCTTGGTCACTTTGACTTCAATTTTGATTCCATCCTTAAATTCTGTCTGATGTTAAATAGTGCAGTTAAAGTTCCAGTTTCTTATCTCTTATGTTTGAGTTATTTCACATCAAACAATTCAAACATGAGTTATATGGGCTCTTGGAGCTCCCCTCTTGTTTATCATAGTTATTATTGAATGACGAGGAGCCGGCGGAAGAGAAAAACTTAGATGTAATCGAGCGTATATGAATGCCAAATTATAAATTGACTCAACAGTAATTCTATTTGGACACGTAAAAGTAAAATTGACATTTCCTATCGAGATAGTAAAAAAGCTAGACAATGAACTACTGCATACTTTTATTGCACTAAGCTCATTGGAGAACGTTAAATAAAAATTACATCTGCCGACATGCAACTGAAAGCGATGACCGAACTGGCTCAGAAGGAGGGTAAAAAACAAAAGATTACAGTCACTAAACTAACGATAGATATAACTCCCAGAAGGTACAGTAAAAATATAAAGAGTAAAGTTAAATGAACTTTTTATCCTTTATTTTTTTCATTTGGACTTGCCGTTGGCCAGTTTGGATCCGGGTCCATTAGGGTTGAGCTCATCCCAAGCTTCAATCCATGTTACCATGGCGTCGGCGAGCTTGTCGAAGTAGGGGTCCACCGTGCTGAGCTTCTCCTTGACCTGCTTGGAGAGCTCAATGTAGCATGCTTGCACGGTGGTGCAGTCTTTGGGAAGGACAGCAGATTGGAAGAATGGGATGATCTCTTCCTGCCAGAAGATGCCTTTGTACTCCTTCCTCAGGTTCACAAATGGGTTGCTGGCTTTGCTGTGGTAGATATATGGCAGCCCTGTCTTCACTCCAAGCCCCAAATGATCTGTTATCACCTGAAATATTCATGATAATACATACTGTTAATCTATAGTATCAGGGACGATGGATTGTTCTGACCAACTGACCTAACCAATATATGGAACTAAATATATTATTCACATGAAAGAGAGAACAATGGAAGAATTAGAAGACATATGGGCATATTGTATGGTTAAGAAAGGGAACCTTGGTGCACCAGCCAGCCCACATATCGTCGTAGCGTCCAATTGGCTGACCGTCACCCATGAGTCCGAAGTACATAGCAGGGCCGATGAGGTCACGGTCGAAAGCCAAGTTCATCCCACACATTGGGAACAATGTGCCCTTTGGGATTGTCATAACAGCATCCACAAACCTAGTGAAAGCATAAGCATATAATGTTAGGAACATATATCGCACAATGCGTACAATGCAAGATAGGGTTCTTGTAGGGAGTGGATCTACCTGGTGTTTCTCTCAAGTGGCTTCACAAGCTGTGTTGGTGCATCATAATCCGGGATGTTGAGCCAGAGACCGTGAGAGACAGCGGTCGGAACACCCTCACGGAGACTGAAAGGGTATCCACGAACAAAATCCGCACCGTCTCTGAAGGGTTCATACAGCGTGTTGAAGAAAAATGGGGTCGATGGTGCAAGGAGGTTCTTGATGTGTTGCTCCAGTGCATTCACTGGTTTGCCAGATGGGTCTGTTGCAACCTAGAAGTATATACACACAGAAAATCATGATAACTTATAAATATGCCAACAATTTCGGAGTTGTAGTACAAACAAATTGAAATTAAGTGCTTCAGAATTGGGAGGGGAAAGGACAGAAGTAAGTTGCACATAAAACAAATGCATATGCTATATCTTTATCCAGGAACAAAACAAACAAATATAGATATGGAAGAAGTCCAACAGAGAAGTTAAACAAGTTCAGTGTTAAAATTATTTTCCAAATTTAAAATAGTGGGATGGATGGGAAGGAGGGATTTTCATGCAACAAAGATGTCTTTGCAGTGGCGGCATTATACACTAATTTCACTTTGATATGTATGAAAGTTTAAAGGCATGACAATGTGAAATTAGTTTGGACGCTAATCACATATTAATGTGTGAAAAGTTAAAAAACATGACAGTATGTGAGTAGTGTGAGATAACGACATAGTGTTATGTATGCAAGTTTCTCTGCATAAGGAGAGACAAATTGTTATTGAAATTGATTTAAAATAGGGATTTACCTCCACACAAATCCTACTGTGCTGATGTGCAGTTTCACGTGTTTAACTTTGCACGCATAACAAACATTATTCAATCCAGATCAAACTAGATGCCATCAGTGCTATTTACATACAATCTCTTACAAATTAAGGACGCTTATTTCATTTTATATGGGACTTTACACGTATAAGGTAAGGGAAGTGTTATTGGCACTCCAAAAATCTCATTCTACACTCCTCTCAAGTGCATTTTTCTTTCCTAATATAGAAAGTTTGGAGTGTAGAATGAGATTTTTGAAGTGCTAATAACAACTCCCTTAGGTAATAGTGATATAATTAAAATATACAAAATCAACAATTAAACATGGGCGGATCCGTGATACCATTAAGACTTTTATTTGTAGGAAAGAAAATGAGTTATACAAAGAAATCCTAAACTCTTAATCCAACAGTCATATTATTTTAGATTTGGATGATTTTTGGTAGACAAGATCTTTAAGAGAGACCTAAAAAATAAACGGTTCGGATCGTTACGTTACAAAATGGGCTCCACAAAGTATAAAAAATTGGGTAAAAAAATAGTGTCACGATCAATTAAAGAAAAGAGAAATCGATAGAGGCAGAAGAACGTGCCGCATGAATTATTCAGTCATCCATATTTTACGCAAAACCATGAAATACAAGATCCAGACTTTAAAAACTCATAAAAAAAAAACAATTAAAATCCAAAAACAAAACAAAGATTGGAAAAACCTAGAAAAATAAGAAGAGGAGAAGACATACAAAGCAGTCATCGTCGATGGTGAAGATGTACTTCTTCTTGGAGACCATGTATCCGAAGCATCGGCAGGCAGAGTCCTTGAACGAAATGCAGGACGACCTCGGACCCAGAATCTTGTTAATGTCGTTGCGGTTATAGAGCTCGTAGTCGTAGCCGTCCGGGACTTTGATGGTCTTCGACGGATCACCGTCCTGGACGATGATGAGGTGGTAGGGCTGCAAGAATGGCCTCCACATCTCCAGGAAGTCGAGGTTTCTGATGGTGGGGATCACAATGTCGAGCTCATCCGTCAAAAGGGGTGTCGCGGAAGCCATTGGAGGATCGAAAGGCGCAAGGTTGACAGAGAGAGAGGGGGAGGGGGAGGAGTGAGAGGCGTTTGAAGGAGGAGAGGGAGTTTGAATAGGAATATAAATGAAGGGGGACGTGGTGGCACGTGAGGAGGCGGAGGAAGCGGCACGAGTGTGGTTAGGGAGGAAACGTGTACGAGATTTAAAGGTGTAAGAGAATTGTTCAACTCTTACAAAAGCAAGCTGAGATTGAGAACTGCAATTGCAAAAAGACCAGATTTTGATTTTATGAGTGTTTAAAAAGGACTTGATTTTAGCTTTTTGGACTCTAATTCTAGTCATCCATTTTGAACCTTCCACGTGTGGTTTACGAATAGTTTATGGTATTCGATACTAGATTTTTTTTAGCATGACCACCACACATCACGTGTTGTTTACTATTAGTATAGTTTTGGTTTGAGGGAAGAAAAACTTCAATGTGGCAGTGAGTCCCTTCTTTAACCTCATTCTTTCTACAAACACCCAAAAATATACAATTCTAATATTTTGGTTAATCTGACACTTCTCGTGTTAACATGATACATAACATCTTTATTGAGTTAGTCTACATGACTGACCACTTTTTATCGAAGATTGTTTTTTAGTTTCAGATGTATACTTTGTCATTCACATATATTATAACATGTGGATTAGTAGCAATATGTAACTGTGTGACTGTCATACTCAAAATTTTCTCTATTTTTTGTCACTGCATTAGCAGTATTTCAAACTAATAATACATTGTTAAGAATGTTAAAAGTTACGACAGGTTTTGGAATTTCTTAGTAAACTCGATGACTGAGAGTCTATCTATCCCCACAAAACAGTTACCAGCTTTTCAAATTGGTAAAAAGGTACTTTTCTGCGTTGCTTTGAACGTCTAGGATAGATTGGTTGCTTTCATGCATAAATTTGCAAGGACGATGGTAAATAGGCGCGAAGGGGAACTGTACTAATTGTGGGACTTGGATTTTGACATGACATATGAATATGCTTTGGTCCGCAAGTGAGACATCACATAACTCGTTTATGGTCGATAAAAACATAATATAACTTGTACATCACGCCTTATTACAGTGGCGAAAAACAATAATGCTTATACAGTTTGATGCAAGTTCGATTCTAACCGATTTCTCTTCCCTTTCACATTTAACAATTAAACTCTCAAACGCTATCATTTGTAAAATAACATAATATAACTTGCATTAATTACGAGTGTATTACCACAAATTAATTGAGAATGTATAAGTTAAAGGTTAATTATGGCAACCACTCTTCAACTTATACTCATTTTTTATTTTGGTCACTCAATTTAGTTCTTATATTTTATGCTCTTTCTATGTAACTTCCCATTTTAATCCTCCGATGTTACGATTTCGTGACTTTCGTTACAAGTTGACCAACCTCTAACGTAAACTGAAAAAATAAAAGAACCAAAATTAACTACAAGTGCTAAACCCATTGAACAAAGGAGCAATTGTTGAGTACATACAATCTGGACGGTAAAAAGAACAAATAAACAAAAGATTCGGAGACGAGAAAAGTTTTTTTAGCATGCATCAGTGTAATGTACATCAGAATCTATGGCCTTCAGATTCTTCATTGTTGAATTCTTGGCCGGACATCTAGCTCTCTATTCACATAAGGCATGTCGTACAGCAGTGCATGATAGAATATTCGAGATACAAAAAGCATAGGGGTTCGAGTTTCTCTTTGCGTCCAATTCAATTCACCTTAATTCCTGCAATTTATTTCGGGAGGCTTAATCTTCATATTAAGCAACCTAATATGCTTCAAGAATTTTTTACGTTTTCTGCATCCATCAATACTCAATCGAGTTTTTAAATGACCAAGTACAAAACCCATATGGTCAAGAATTTCACTTGGGTACAACTTGGCCCATTAAACAATGGACATCTTGATTGCTTAGCCCATTAAATAAATTTCGGTTAATCGTTTTTTCAATACGTCTACTAGGTTTGACAAACGATATCTTGTTAGGTTTTTTACTGATGAATCGATATTGACCTGATTCGTTAACGGATTCATCATGAATGACTCGATAAATACACGTTTTGTTAACAAGTTGTCCCAGAACCTGTTAATCTCTAGTCATCTTGTGTCGAGTTAAATGAGTCGTGCAAGAAATTACCATGACTAATTTGCATAGCAAAAATTATAATATCCAACGAAAGGAAAATGCTCAAATTCCATTAGTTTTTCTAATATGTTAGCACCTTATCATACATCATATTTCTCTCACATGCCCTATATACTATTTTCTCTATTTTTTCTATGTACATATATTAGTCAGTAAGATGAAACCCTAAGGTGCAGTCCATTCGGTGCCTCTACTCGTGGAAATTTCATCAGTTTGTCTCCCCCAACTTCTTCCCACCTGCAAGCAAATAAATATTACAATCTTATCTTTAATAGTAAACAACATTTCTTTTACCTTAGGTAAAAAATCAGATCAAAAGCTACCTGTATCTAGTTACAAAGTAGTGCAGGAAAGTTGAAATTTCTGATATTCCCAGCTCCTTTCCTGGACATAGCCTAGTGCCCCCTCCAAATATAAAGAAATAGTTTGAACACTCCAAGCTCTTGTCCTGCATTTTGCATTCAAACCCAGTTTAGAAATTCCGACTTATGTTTAAATTTCAAGTTTATTTCCATTGTCGAAGCCGAGCAGTCAGACAGAAATACAAAGAGTTTCACTAACCAGCCATCTCCAAGGATTGAAGGTTAATGGTTCCGGATACAGAAAGGAGTCATAATTAATCTCTCTTGTATACACATAAATTCTCCAGCCTTTTGGAATCAAATATCCTGTTTAAACATAGAAAAAAATTGTTATAAATCTTTTAAATAACATTAAAGGGTGGCTTCAAGCCAAAAAGGTTCCATGCTTTGCAAGGGTCAGTAGAAACATTTATCGTACGCAGTCTTATCCTTGCTTTACAAAAAGGTTACTTCCAAGGTTATTAACAATTTAAAATAAGAAAAACTAATGAAAAGAATTTGAGAAAACTTTAAGTTTTAACGATAAAGGCAAAATAATAGGTAAAGTGAATAGTACTTTTTAGTGTAAAAATGTGGTTTTTCGTTAAAGTGAACAATACCGAAGTTTTTCGTTAAAGTTACTCTTAAAATAACCTTGCAAATGTAAGATATATTTTCCTTACCATTTAGTTCCATATCTTGAGTCGTTTTTCTCAATACCCCATTCACAATTGTAGCTAATCTTGAGGTCTCAAATATTACCTGCAGGGTAAAAACATAACATGAAAGATATTAGCAAACCAGAGCAAATGGTAAATCCAAAATTTTCAAAGGTGAGAAATTCTCACCGCACGAGTAAACTTCATAGATTTCAAGTCGTTCCAGTCAATTGGGTCCTCTGGGTTTTTCTTTTCTCTAATTGCTAACTGCTCTTTCTACAATGTGCAGTTAAAAAGTCAGAAACAAAACTCCGAAGTTAAGCAAGTTTGGATGAGATTGTTACCAAAAGCAAAAACAAACCATAAACTTACTCTGAGTTCTTCAAGCACTTTGGGATGATCATGGAGGTACTTGACAGCCATCATGGAAGTAGTGGAAACCGTCTCATAACCCGAATACAAAATCGTGATGACCATATCGATTATTTCTTCGTCACTGAGTTTGTGTTTGTTTTCATCACTTGTCAGTAAGCAGCCAAGCATGTCTTTATGAACTTGTTTGGAAGCCCTTCTCTCTTCTATGAGTTTTTCCAACATGCTTACAATATTCTTCCTTGCCTGCATATAAAATGGTTCGCCAATCTGAATTGCTGGACCTTCCACAACAATGTCCATTGGAGATTTGGTGATGAGAAAATAAATCAGATGTATACCTGAAAACCATGGTAATAATTCGTGCCAGGAAGATCAATAGGCAATGAAAGGGTGCCTAGCACAAGCTTGAAGAACTCTGTCTTGAATGCTGGAGTAATTGAGCTTGATTCAATGCCTGCAATCTGCTTCAGAGATGATAAAAGTGCCATCTGTATAAAACAGTTGAAGAAAAACTGATCAGACCAGTGATCAACAAAGGAATAGTATCAGAACATGTTTACTATCCGGAATCAGCGAGTAAAAACACAAGTACTCCGCAATCAGGGTCGAACAAACTGCAGTTCGACTCCGATTATGGATTACTTGAAAGATGGGATGTTGGTACACAAACCTCTTTGGTTTTTTCTTGAATGTTGATAACTTGGTTGTCCCAGCCAGCGAGGTGGGATGTCATGAACTCATCAATTTTGGGCAAAATCTGGTCTCTGATCACGGTTGGGTTAATGAGGGCAAGCAATGCGCCTCTCATGTACTTGTGAGTGGAGCCATGGACTGCGGCAATGTTGCATTTTCCCAAAATATCCAACATGGATTGTGGGTAGCCAGGAACCAGCCCTTTGGCTTCATTCATTAGGATGTATCTGTTCACCTCTGGATCCATGGATACCACTGTAGGGCACCCCAATATGTGGGATTTGAAGAAACTCCCATACCTGGCAAAAAATAAATCAAAATTATACAAAAAATGTTTTGCCAATTTAATTTACGAAAAATGATACACACGACTTTTCACCTGTTATACACATATGTTTAATCACGAGTCACGACTGTTGTTTTCGTTTTACTCAAAAAACCTACTAAACTTTAACAGAGGAGAAACCCTAAAAATATAATCACCTTGCTCTCTGGTTTTTCATGAAGTTTGGGCCTTGTTTGAGAAACTCAGTGGTTTCACCAAAGACTGGCCAGCCCATTGTGCCTGGAGGGAGGCCTTTCTTTCTGTATCTAACTTCATTCCATCTGAGAAGAGCAGAGCAGATGCAGACCAAACAGAGGAAACAGATAAGCACTATCATGAAGACAGCCATTGATGCTCTGCTCTCCTCCTAGAAGCTGCAAGGAACCCTAGACAGAGAGAGCATTCAATGGTATGGGCATGCTCTAGTTTTGTGGTGTAGCCAAAAGTGTTTCATATATATATATATATATAGGCCAATCCAAGTCTCAACCACCATATGTGAGAGAGAGAGAGAGAGAGAGAGAGAGAGGGAGAGGGAGAGAGACCATATTTTAGGCCAATCCATGCACCCTATACAAAGTGAGGGACCTTATCTATGACCTCGAGCAGTAAAAGCTCACTTGAATGACTATAAAGTGTTTAGTTCTTTCACAAAGATCAGTCACGTGTTATTATTGATCTCTACACGTGCATATTGTTAGAGTTTTGAAACTCTTGTCCCACATTGGAAAAAACAAGATTCTCAATGACCTTTATATATGTTTTGTCATCTACAATATTAGTTAGGTGTTGGACCACTTGGAATGGGAATTGAGGCTTGGGCCACCAATCCTATGGATTAGGCTTGATGATTATACCATAATATTAATTTATATTAATCAAGACAACGGCTTGGGGCACTTGGGGCCTAATAATTAAAATTAATTTGATCAATTAGTTTTAATTTTTTAATTAAGTTTTTAATTAAAATTAATTTAAAACGTTTTGATTAATAGACACAACTCTTTGGATAGAGTTGTATAGCTTCAGATACATCCAAAATGTATTTGAAGAGGTATGAAAGAACCTAAATAACTGGAGTCCTCAGTTCCATTCCAGATATCTTTTCTTCCTCCTTTCTTCCGTACGAAATTTCCAGAGAGTAAACACACAAAGCAAATTCGCTAGAATTCTAGAATCCAATGCGGGTTGTAGAATTAGGTAGTTGAATCCTGATCGAGCAGACGTTGTTGAACCACAAGCACAAGAGTGGGACGTAAATACTGTTCGAAGGACATAACTATTACGCTAGCCTCTACCTTCTGTAATCAAGTTAGTACCATTGATATTCTTGTATTTATTTATGTATTTCATTATGCACAACAAGTATTTTGATTAATAAATATTCTACAATTTCGAGTTCTGTTATTTTTATTTATTTTTGAATTGTTCTTCAAGTGCATATATCATGTAGAAAGTTGAGATTTTATGGTACGATTATTTGACAACACGATAAATGCTAAATGAGGTTCTTTTAAAAGTTGATCTTTCTATGAATTCTCTACTACCTCATGTTTTTTGCATAATATTTTATAATCTTTGTACGAAAATTAACATTAAATTGTAAGGTGACAAAGAGTCAGCTCTCCTTTACATTTCTCTAGGCAACAAAAGTTAAGTCAATCGAAAGTTGACTAAAATTGTGTGTCCGCTTATTTATCGTCAAATACGAATCCACTCCTATAAATTAAAACAATTTAAAATAGAGAACTTTAATGAAAAGCACCCGGTACTGTTCACTTTAACGAAAAACCACATTTTTACACTAAAAAGTCAATCCTGGTACTATTCACTTTACCCTTTATTTTGTCCTTATCATTAAAACTCAAAGTTTTCAAATCCTTTTCATTAGTTTTCCTTTTAAAATATTGTGTGTTAAAAAAATAAAAAATCACTTTTCCAAAACTTTTAACTTATCTTACCTCACGACCCAACAAGATTTGAATTTCCAAAGCCAAAGCAATTGAATAAAAATTGATTTGCTCAAAAGTGAAAAGTTAAAAAGTTTTTAACTATCGTATTCATAAACTAGTTTAGACTTTGGAGGAAGGATGCTGTGGAAAATTTACTGCTGTAGTAAGTTTGAAAGGCACATGCACACCACCCTCTAGGGCCTAAAAGAAAAGTGAATCCCTTTCACATGTTCGTCAACAAGATCTGGCAATGGAATTGCAAAAACCAGAAGAAGACACAGGAGCTTGGTTACCATGTGAATAAGAGAGAGAGAGTGTGTGTGTGTGAGTGCATGTATTCTTTTGGTTCCTTTCTAACTGCTAGTTTGAAACTTGGACTGCCCCTTGTTCTAGTTTGAAGCTGTGGGCTGTAAATTCCCACACCCCACTCTCGACTTTTGGACTTTTAATCTCAAACACCTTCAAGGGAAATATAAATAGAGTTCCACATAATCTCAAAATACCATAAATCTTGCCTCATCCATAAGTATGAATTAACATATTCCCTAACTCTGACTGAGAGTTAGATTTTGAATCTGAATCATTAGCCGAGCTAATATTTATCTAAATTTGTGATACATTCAGAGTATGACAGTATGAGTATTCATTGTGTCTAAATTATCGTTATCATATAATGAAAGCATTCACCTTCTTACTTTAGTGATAGATATAAAAAATAAAAATAAACTTTGAGTTTTAACGATAATGACAAAATAAAAGGTAAAGTGAATAGTACCATAATTGATTTTTTAATGTAAAATTATGATTTTTCGTTAAATTGAACAGTACCCGGAGTAAGCCACAAACATTTAACATCCCACCCACCATCGTTAGCTATGTTTAAATGCCGTCATTATAGTAGGGAATCTTCACCATTAACAATCAGGTTAAGAAGCATATGCAGACTGAGCACAAGAACATCGATCCGTACATTGTAACATTGTTTTCAATCATAATTTACAGTACAGAATCTGCAGATTATATGCATTACGAGCAATCCTTTTTCCTTATCTTTTGGTCGATGGATAACGATACATGCGAGTGTTCTTTAAAATATTTAATGGTAGCCATTAATTATCTTGCAAGATCTAGTACCGTAGATGGTACATTGGTTAGTGAGAAGAAGATTGTCCTTTGCTATTAAAGTTGGAATCAGACTTTGAAGTATGATGAAGTATTTGCCTTTACGTGTTCTCACTAGGGTAGGTCTAAAAGGTAAAAGAAAACTAGGAGGAGTGATGATCTTCGTCGGATTTTCTTTGTGAGAATTTCGAAAATCTTTAAATCACATCCGGTTATAATACATCGTATGGTCAGAAATTATTATAAATTTTTTTATTTAAAATTGAATATAAACAGCATCTAACGAAAACTGACTGCATAATATACGATAAACGGATATGATTGAAGGATTCCTGGAATTCTCATAAAGAGAATCTAACGAGGATCCTGAGTGAACTAAAAGCACTCCTCAATAAATCAATATATTGAAACATAAACTTCAAATGTCAAATGTATGAAAGAGAAGTTTGATCACAAATACAACCATAAACCCTAGAGTGCTAACTAGACCTAGCTAGTAATAGAAGTTTTCCATTAACATCTTTCTACTTGTTTTTATGAATAATTTGTTGAGAAATAACTATACCTAGCTAGTTATAGAAATTTTCCATTAATTTCCTTTAACTTGTTTTTTATGAATAATTTGTTGAGACATGCTAAGGCGACTCTCTCAAAAGTGGGACTTTTTATAGACTTTCTGTTACTTCATGTTTTTTACACAATGTTTATAATGTTGACACGAGAATTGACATTAAACTGTGAGGTGATAGAAAATCCATAAAAATTTCACTTTGAGAGATTTTCCTTAGCATTTCTCTAATTTGTTTCAATAGAAGAAATGTATGATCACTTATTGTTGGGTATGATATTAAGGGTGTAGATTAAATCAATGTGCTATTAATGTTTCCAATTCAACGGTGAGTGACCATGTATCCTTAGTCACTAGGTGACTAAGAGAACATGATTGTTGTTTCAATACTAATTAGGCTTTTTCTCCAAAGTGGTTCCTGAGATAGACACAACTCCTTACTTTATTCCTTGACAATAAAAATTGATAGAACTAGTCCCGAAGTTTGTCCACTATAAATCATTTTGGTCCTCTTGTGAAAATTTGTCAAAATATTTGTTAAATTGTCAAGTGAATAAACCCATGACCACTTTTTGAAGGGTATTTTTGTCAAACTAACTCCTCTACGAGGATAATTACAGAGTTTTCACGGAAGGACAAAAATTATTTACGGTGGACAAACTTAGGAAGCACTTCTATTGATTTTCATTGTTAGAGACTAAAATGAGGAATTATGTCAATCTCAGAGACCATTTTGACTAAAAGACCTACTAAACATCTATTATTTCTCTTGTGATTCCTTGCGCAAATAGTGACAAAAATAGTTAAAGTGTGTAACTAGGGTTTGTCGTGATGATCGTCATCATGAATTCATAATTCATAATTAATTAACATTCACCACATATTATCTTCGGGGGCAGGCCGTACAGTAGGTGTCGATGATCATCAGTCTGATCAACATGTTACATGAATCTAATGAGACATGGTTCGTCCTGTAATTCGCTTATCTCTTCTACTCTCATTTTGTTTCTTGACTTTGGTTTGAAGCTGATGGCTTGTCTTTGAGTGGAAAATAAGGTGGATTGGATGGTGACTTGAACAAAGGTGGGGGATACATATTGAGATCCTTGGAAAGAGATTAGACACAAAAGGGGTTTTACCAATCTTAACTTAGTTTTCAAATTAAAGATAGTCGGTAATCGTTTTGTTGTAGGATAATGAGAGTTACTACGACAACAGTAATGTTATATGTGATCTTCATGTACTTTTATGCTTGTGAAAACTATAAGATATTGTTTTGGTTCATCATTTTATGTACATTTCATATTCTAATACAAATACATCATAACGTGTTATATGATCCAAAATATATAAGATCATTTTCTGATACAGTTCATTGAATAGATACAGTTCATTGAATAGTTACTTTTATCTTTGATGTACTTGATCCAATTTGAGAATTGCTAGATTTCAAAAATTGAAAAAGATGTTGAAACTCCTTGGAGTTTCTAGTACACACGAGTGTCTTGTTTGGCAGGTGACAAATGGCATATACATATAGACATCCTTTAATTCTCCAACTTGTTATCCAATTCCAAAGTAATTTGTTATAAGATAGCATGATTAGGTAGACGATTGCATGCCGACATGAAATGCATAAAACAGATTGATTAGAACAAGCTAAAATCCAGGAAAATAAAGGCCAAAGCTAAAATAATAATAAGAAGAAGAAGAAGAAGAAGAGGAGGAGAGGAAACTAAGAAGAAGAAGAAGAAGAAGAGGAGGAGAGGAAACTAAGGGGAGAATAAGAGAAAGCGATGTGGTTTAAA